TGTCATACAGAAGAGGAACATGGATTGTAGGCAAGAGGAATCCGTTCCGATTCATTTTATTAATATTTTTTGAGAAATTGCAGATGAACAGTATAATCACCTGAAAAAATCGCATTTCTCTGAGAAAAATGTCGATAGGCACAGATTCAGGCCGCTTTACACGACCGCCACTCTGGTAGATGTACAGAATTGATTCAAACCTGCAAAAACGAATAATGCTTCAAGCAAAACAAGCCAGCCGTATGAATTCACTTGATTTCTTTGAAAAAAAAGTCCAGGTGTTACGGTATTTGTGTGTTAAAAGTGAGGAAAACAATGGACGTATTGCAAAATGGGTAGAGTTGCGCTAAACAGTTCTCTTCCAGAATCACTAAAAGAAAAGGCGTCATAGATCAAAAGTTACATACTTTTCTTTCGGGAGAGGGCACCTATTCAAAAATAATATCGCTTAGAAACGAAAATTCAGTGCGAGAACTCTGCTTTTACGGTATCCCGATTGCGCGTTCTGGACGTGTGGTCGTGGTGGTGGAATGCAGCCCGCAGCTCACTTTTAATCTCACCCACTCTTACTCTTCCGAAAATTCATATACTCAAATAATATTTTACTATGAAATGAAATATGCTGCATGTAAAATTCTGCATCTTTTGCGTTTCATAAGTTTCTCTTACTCTATCTTGGAGGCAACTATTCAGCGCGACTCTCCAAAACGTGTGAGGTTACGTGAGGGCATACACCACAAGTGGTTGGGTTAAGCACAAAAAACGCTCACAGACTCGTGCGAATCTCCTTAGCCATTTTGTCGCTAAAATGGAACAAATCCCTATTTTCTTTCAAGGATATAAATATTCGAGAACAGCATCTTACGATAACTTCTGAACGTTTATTTTGTTTTGATCCGTAAGATTCGCCTCGTCTCATAAGCGAAAGGTCTATCTCAACAGAATCTCAATGACCAAACAACACTTAAACCGTCTTTTTATCAGTTCAGTTCTGACCCCTCGGTGAGTTGAGGGTTATCGTTTTGATTATATTATAGAAATGTGATTAGTTGAATGACGGAGTGTTTGATGAATCGGGTCAGTAAAGAGCGATGACAGCCAGCAGCTGGTGTCTCCAGCTCCAACGCCACATATTATTCACACTACTCACGTGGATCTGTGCCGATCAAAGAAGTACTCGTTCGTGTCCTGCATGTAGTAGCGCTCACGCTTTGATTTGCAACCCAGTAGAGTGTTTGGAAACCTGAATAGCAACAGTTAAGAGAAGTAGTAGACTTCAGATTACCAAACTCTAATGCCCATACCCCCAGTCCCTCTGTATTTACGTGAACCGCGGCTGTTCCCCAATTCTAAAGTGTCTTGTCCAGTTCCATATGTCTTACTGTTGTATTAATGCACAACATGCTTACATTAAATTAGTTCGCGCGGGAAGTATCTGACGGAAATTCCACAGCATTCCCGATTTCTCCAGGGATTTTCTGGAAGCTCCCATAAGATTACTGTAAAACGCTACTCATATGTATGTGCTTAACATATTAAGAGATTTTATGATCGTATCGTAATCAGTCGACAGATCGAGGCTCACCTACGGCCTTTTCTCGAACTGTGAGGCTTTGGAACGAGGTGTGCACAAGTTCGCTTGAAAAGGGCTCCAAGACCTAATACTTTACACATGTTTCAATGGGTTTCAGCAGCGGAGTAGCCGGTTTCGAATCCGAAAAAAGTCCGGATTGGGTGTAAAGTTCAGTCATTACATGGGTAAATAAGAAAGGAAGATAGCTATGCGTAGTCGGGCATGCATGGTGAAGGAATCTGGACCGCAGCAAAGTTTTTGGCAGATACTTCTCACCCAACCTGACAGACTAATGAATAAAAGTGTTAATGAAGTGAAGCTGAAATATTCTCATCAAACTTTGTTCCTAAGCCAATGATATCCATGGCGTTGGACTTCGTAGATGTTTGGTTATAGAGAGTTGTTTGGTGGCTGGATTATCATGAGAGGATCAGTGCTTATTTTCGGCTCGACGAAGCAGGGGCAACCTATATGGCCATTGAGCCGCTCCCACCCATCTTTGGTTAGAGAATTTATGTGATGAGGTCATATTATAGAAAACCAACTTTTAGTCAAATGGATTATAAAATAAAATAATATTTCTAGCATACTCTTGACTAGGGCGGAGAGCGTTCCAATTAAGTAACGGTCTCGAACGGCTCGCCCTCCAGAATTGCGATCACTGCTTTGAGTTAAAGGCAAAAAAAAACTAGTTGACCCCTGCCCTCATTTTTTGTGGGGATAATAAGCTACGGCAAACGATAGTATCATTAAGAGCACAATGAAGGTGGATGTGGTCTCAAAACTGGAATGGGCGAACGCAGTGCCCAGATAGTTTGAAACCAAACTGCTGTCAATAAGTAACCCAGCGGATTACGGTAGGGAAAAAGTTCGAAGCAATAAAATTTAGCGCTGTATGAAATTCCTGAAGGAAGATTTCACAGCGATTGCGCTAAGCGTTCTTCACTTGTGTCCTTGCTCATAAGCATGGACTTGGCTGACTTATGTTGATGCAATTGTGCTTGAAGCTTGTCTCAGAGAGGTAACCTCAAAAATCACGAAATAGTATTAAAAGTTTTTTTAAAAAGAAATATACCAGGAGTGCATGAATCAGCCTTGGCGTATTCGATTACCACACATGTGTTTGTTGGATTTCAAAGAGACAGATGGCGATTTCATTGAAGCAATGAAATGAAAGTACGTGAAGTGCATTACAACTGACCTAGCCAACGTCCTTTCAAATGTTTGAAATCGCAGCCCAGAGACATTGATCGTTACCAAGTCACTGCTCCTTAACCTGAATACACCGTTATTATGTAAAGAAGACAGATTTCATTTGTGAAGCCTCTACAAGCTTAGCGAACAAAATTCCATCTGATACCACCCAAGATTCGATCAATTTTGTGTAAATAAATGTTACTGACACATTGAAAACTTGAAAAGAACCAGTGAGAGGAAGTTTCTTGGTCATGGAGAATTTCCTAGAATGGCATCTATTGATGAAAGCTTCTCCTATCCACCCTGCAGAACGGTATTCTACTGGTTGATACCTCTACAGTTCTTTCTGCTCGCTCCTGAGCGGCATACAGGCTGCTTTCATAGTCCGCCAGCCGGCGAGCGAGCGCGCCGGTAAGAGGTGGTGCTAGCCATGGGCGCCGGTGCCGCCGTGGACGGTCCCGAGCAGATCGAGCAGATCGGGACCATCCACGGCTCGGCAGGCCCATGGCTAGCACCACCTCCGGCCGGCGGACTATGAAAGCAGCCGCTCAAAGTCAAGGTTTCATGCGATGACAAGAAAGTCCTACTCAGACTCTCCTCCCTCAGCTTCTCAAACACACGATGGCACGGCGATGGCTCTGGTACAGCCCATTTGGCCCAGCTTATCCTTCAATTAACTACTAGCATTCACTCAACTACTTGTCAATGACGAGTGAATCCGAGTAAGGGTTCTTCTCAGGAATACTACTTGTTGGTCATAGTGCCAGCCAAAGGAATATGTGTTGTTCTATTCAAATAACTGTGTGGCAAGAATAATAGTATCACGTCATGTGATTTTCCCCATAACCCCCCTCCACCCACAAACAGCTGTTTCCAATTCGATTTTTATCGTTAGCTAATAAA